CCAATCAGTGAATAAATGCATTGATCAAAATCAGAACCCTTCAAAGAAAATGGTCACACCCAACCACATCAACAGGACCAACACATGATATTATTATTCAGTCATAGGTTGTCTTAGGAAATATTATAAGTCTTCCTCTTCCAAAATGCCTCCTCGTGTTATGTCCTCCTGTTATGTCCACATTGTGTCATTGATCTTTGTCATTTGGGTACTAGAACTTTAAATTCTTTTGAGCAAGGGATGCTTCTCACTATGCATTTGCTCATCAGACTTTGTTGGTTCCCCTGACCCTAATTTGAGAGGCACTAGGATATGTAAAAAAACATTTTCAGGGGGATCAACTGTGGGGCTTACTGATTTCTCCCTTCTCCAGGCATTTTTTCTGGAAACAATGACAACATCTGGATGCAATGACTGAGGTGGGCTTGTAATTCAGGTGTTGCTCGGCAATACTGAATCTCTGCCATGGGGTTTAGAATTTAAGCATTGAAAGATGTTTCTTATAAAAAATGTCTTTTGCTAAACATATACTTATTCACAATACATGTATTTTTTTCAGAACCATCAATTTATGGAGAAAAACAATCAATACAGGGCTGGAGGGATAAATGGTGTAAACGTGAAGCCTCCAGGAGCTTTTGATTGAAAAATCTCAAGTTGTCGAAGCTGATCTATCTAATTTCTCCCTCTACTGATCTATCTAATTTCTACACACATCCCTCTTCTTACCAACCACCCACAGTTAATTTGAATAATAAACTTACAGCAACGTGAAGTTTTTCTCAGCTTGTGATCTGATCCTCCAGTGCCAGGAGTCTTTGCTTATTTTTCCTCTACTGATCTATCTCATTTCCCTTTCCCCTGCCACTACCAAATCTTCACATCTTAGTAGGAGCTTTCTCTCCACGTCAAGACTGACCTGACAGAAGTAGATCCAAACCAGTTTCTCTCTGCAGAAGACAGTGAACTTCACTGGCTTGGAAGGACTGATGCTGCAGGAAGGCGATTTATCCACATTTCTCTTGTTAGGGCTCCTGAGACTTATTCCCTAGAGCCCAGCTTACCTCTGAATCAGAAACAAGCCTTCCTGGATTTATGTCTTTTAAAGCAAAAAAGTTATGTTTTGATCCTTTATTTTAATCATCTTTTATCTATTGTTTCCTGTTTCTGGGCCAGGATTTGTATCATCTGCGGTAAGCCTGTGTGAAGCGGCTAGTATTCACTTTGGATTAGGATTCATCTGGTTCTGGGGACACTGATTCTGTTTAGTGATTCAAATCACTGTCCCAAATCGATTCAGCCAAATCTGATTTGAAGATTCAACCGCTGCCAAATTGGCCGAATCTTCAAACTGAACAGACACAATCTCCCACCCACTCTCCCAGCCCCATGAATGGCTGCCCTGCCCAGCCCCAGCATCCCGGCACCTTAAATAAAAACGAAGCATCAACCGCTGCCAAATTGGCCGAATCTTCAAACTGAACAGACACAATCTCCCACCCACTCTCCCAGCCCCATGAATGGCTGCCCTGCCCAGCCCCAGCATCCCGGCACCTTAAATAAAAAAGAAGCAAAAAGCCCCGCACTCACTGGCTCATGCCAGGCAGGGGGGAAATCCCCACTGCCCCCCACTTCCCCACGCTGTGTGGGTTCTCTGCCATGAGCCCTCAGAGGCTGCGACAGCCGCTGCAGCAGCCGGTGAGTGCAGGGTTTGATTGTTTTTTTTAAGTGTCGGTTAACCTCAAGTTACTGTGCATTAAAAAAAGGGCCCAGTGGGTGCATCTACACAAGACACTACTGCACTGTGGTTACTGGATATCTGCTTAGTGCCTGTATAAGTTATGTATTAAATAAATGCACAGTAACCAGAGTTACTTCACAGCAGCACCAGCAAACACCTTTTATGTGATGCTACTGTGCAGTAGCCTAATACTACAGTAAACTTTGCCAGTGCACTAGGCCGGGCGATATGCCAATTTTGAGATCCTTAGGGTGCCAGTAGCCCTGGGACCTCCCTCAGGCAGATCTGCTGACTGGGGTGTTGCCCTCACCTTCACCATCCAAGCATTTACTCCAGAACCAATGAACAGATGGGTTTCTTTATTATATGTATAACTATATTCAGGAAGAGAGACAGATGAATGAAAAAGAAGGCATATATACATATATATATTATCAATAGAGAATAATAAAACCAATCATTTGAATACAATCTAGCAATGTAACTGTAAGTGAATAATCCTTACACAGGGGGTTGTTTCCTTACTGTAGACTCCTGCACTGATTACACTCACCTAGTCATATCTTTTTGATTAAAAAAAACAGTTTCCTTTTAGAATTAAACCTCCCCTCTCATTGTAATAAATAGCAACACATTTATTGCTAGGATCTACCACTAGATGCTGTGGACACAGCTCCTGTTATTTATGAGGCTCTGAACTCACTTCCAGGAGTGCTGTGACCATTTCCAGAAGTGCTGTGGCTGCTTCGCAGTCGACACGATTGCCTGTGTGGGGCCCACCGACCTCAATCGGTGAGACTGGCCATGAGGGGACCTCCACCCCCCGCAGTCACAGACTGGTTGCTGAGGGGGGACGGGGCCCCCCCCACCCACCCATGCCTGCAGGGTTCTGACCTGGCAGCTCCCAAACAGCCTACCAGCTGAGGCTGGCCATTCCCTTTCCCTCTTCTCCTGGGGACACCTGTGTCCAGAAGCTGCACAGCTCCATGCCTGGTGAGGAGATTAGCTCCTGATGGTGCTATACATGCTCTTCCTTGGCCTGATGTTGTCTTCCAGAGCAAGTCTCAGTCCCCTTTCCAGTGAGGGAGTGGGGGGCTGTGCCTCTTCCCCTCTCTCTCAGAGTTGGAATTGGATCCTCATCTCCTCCTTTCCCACATTATGGATGCTTTAATGCGCAAGCACAACCAATCAAAGCCCTCAGCTTGCAGCGGGGGCTCTGATTACATTGCAAATGGTCCAATAAAAAGCATGCATGGTGCAGAGTGTATTTTCCTGCTTGGAAAAGCCATAGCACCCAATCATTTTCTGGCTTTTCTGCACAGGGTATTAAACATGGCGCGCCCACCGAGCTTGCAGCCCAGGAAGCTGTGCAGCTATTACAGTTCTGTGCAGTAGCATCCCAGCACAATGTGGCAAAACAGTGTTGTCTGGTAAAAGCTGTCAGTCTGCTAAACTGCACCTGGGTATGTGTATACATGTGCACCTGCATCAGGAACAAATCTGCTCCCAGTGGGAGCAGTTGAGTGCAGGGCTGTTCCTACCCTGCAGCAGCCAGGGGGAGCTCCAGGCTTCCCCGGTGCCAGCTCTGGGCTGGCAGGGGGCACAAGGGTCAGGCCTGAGTTTTGGAGACAGGGGGGAACTGTCCTGAAGTGGGGGACAGCTCCCAGCTGCATGGATCTTGGGGTCCCAAGCCTTGTGACGCCCTGTGGCTGAGAGTGGGGCTAAGCAGTACCGGGACTGCAGGGAGAAGATGGGAGTGGGTAAGAAGCTGGCCAACATATACACCTTGTACTGCATGCCAGAAAACATAATTAGAGGGCTCTGAGCTGGAGCAAAGCCCTTGTCTTCTGACCAGATCTGAAAGCAGCAGAAGCTCTCACGTCCCTATTGCAGGGGGATACCAAAATCAGCCTTCCCTTGAACGGGGCTGGGAACAGCGTGGGGGGCGGCACCCTGTGTATGTATACCCCTTTAAATTGAGCAGTGCTGCAGTGGGGAGAGCAAGAACCAGGCTCAGACCCACCAGCCAGTTGGGGGACCTCATTTAGCAGGAGGAGGGCATGATCCCTCCCCGACCCACCCTTCACAGGTCTGACCTTCTATCCTTTTTGTTACATGGGATCTTCATTTCCCAATTAGGCATGCTGATGGTGTCTTTAACAAACCCTACAGGAAAGGCCTGGTGCTGCTTCCCCCTCATGTCTCACCTCTCCCCAGTCCCAGCAGTGCTTACCACCCTGCCCACTCCCCACACTCGGGCACAAGGCATCACCCCAAGCCAGCACCATTGAGCTGGACTGAGATCCTGATCTCCACACAGGAGCAATGGACAGGTCCCCCCAACCCCACCCCTGTCCACTGTGGCCCATCAGGGTGACTGGGAGCAAATTGCTAATCTAATGCCATCTACTCTAATTCTGCACCCAGGAACAAGAAACTCCAGCAAGAACTGTGCTGGAGTTCATTCGGCTGTGCTAATTGCATGAATAGATGCACCCAGAGAACAGCCTTCTTGTATTAGGACCAAAAAAATCATTGGAGGAGGCAATACTCTCCCTTCCAGTCCTAGGATCCTATGAATATTTTGAAACAGGCAAGTGAGTCTGAGACCTTAAATCTAATTAAAATAAGCACCTAACTTTCTTTAGGGTATTTAAAAAAAAACCCTCAACTTGTTTAAGCAGCAGTGAACAGATATCTATGGCCCTGAATTTTTTAATTAAAATAAGCACCTAACTTTCTTTAGGGTATTTAAAAAAAAACCCTCAACTTGTTTAAGCAGCAGTGAACAGATATCTATGGCCCTGAATTTTTTTCCCCAGTGATGTGGTAACCCTCCCTTACTATGATCAAAACACAGTAATGTGTTTTGTGATCAGTAGCAAAGTTGATCAGCAAATTTATCCTCTAAAGTGTCTGCAGTTCATCCCACCTTCACAGAACCTGAATATTTCCCTATATCCAAATAATGGATTAAACCAACTGGTAAACAAAAGTCTTCCATTCATTGTCTTGTAATTGGTGGCATTTATTTGAGGTGGAACCAATGGTAAAATTGATGCATGAAACATTACTTTACCGCTTCAACAGTGTTTATACAAAATGACCCAAGTCAAGTGTCATTGTCCTTACAAAGCTACAGAATTAACCCACCACCTTCATTTTCTGTAAATAGGTTGCACACTATAGTATGAAAACAGTGATATCATGAGTTAATTCTAAAAGAAACATAAGTAAAGTAAAGTAAAGTAAAGTAAAGTCATGAAACAAAGATGGGCAGATTGGTTTTGGAGCAGATCAGCCTGTGGAGAAGTTGCTTGAGGGCAGCTTGGATCTCCCTGTTCCTCATGCTGTAGATGACCGGATTCATCAATGGAGGCACCACAGAGTACAGAACAGCTGCCAGGAGGTCCAGAGGGGACGGGGAGTCGGAGACAGGCTTCAAATAGGTAACGATACTAGTGGAAAGAAATAGGGAGACAACGATAAGGTGAGGAATGCAGGTGGAGAAGGCTTTCTGCCGGCCCTGCTCAGAGGGGATTCTCCACACTGCAGTGAAGATCTGAACATACGACACTGTGATGAAAACAAAACAGCCCAAACCTGAACACATACTGAAGACAATTGCTCTCAGCTCTCTGCGGTATGTGTCAGAGCAGGAGAGCTTGAGCAGCTGGGGTACTTCACAGAAGAACTGGTTGATGGTATTTGAGTGGCAGAAGGGTAGACTAAAGGTGCTCCCAGTGTGCAGTGCAGAGTTGATGGCACCAACAACCCAAGCACTGGCAGCCATGTGAATGCAAGCTCTCCTGTTCATTATTATCCCATAATGCAGTGCCTTACAGATGGCAACGTACCGGTCATATGCCATGATAGTTAGGAGTGCAAAACCAGCTGTACAAAAAAGGAAGAAGAAAAAGACCTGGGAAACACATCCAGCATAGGAAATTATCCTGTTGTTTAAGAGAGAATTGGCCATGGACTTAGGGCCAATGACAGAGATGGATCCAAGGTCAAGAATGGAGAAATGTGCCAAAAAGTAGTACATGGGGCTGTGGAGGTGGTGGTCCGTAGTTACAGCAGTGATAACAAGGAGGTTCCCCACCAGAGCTGCCAGGTACGCTGCGAGAAAGATGACGAAGTGTAAGATCTGCAGCTGCCGAGTGTCAGAGAAGCCCAGGAGGAGGAACTCGGTTACAGTGGTGCAGTTGGGCATCTTCCTTCCCAGTGCACCGTGCAAGTCCTGGGTATAATAGAACAAGGGCAGTGGTAAGGAGGAGAGTAACAGACTCAGTGGCTTTGATATTCCCATCAATAATGTCTCCAAATTTCGTACTAAGAATGTAAATATTCCTTTTTTTTGCCTCATGGAAAATTTGATTTTAATAACTTATTTTTCCCTGGCAAGACCCTACATAAAATAAATTATTTTGATATTCCATTTAGAAAGTGAAGAAAATGTTAGCCAGGCCACAACTCAGGATTTTAATATTTTTATTTTTATTGATTTAAATCCAAAAGTCTGTAATTTATACATCTCACCGAGAAAATGTATGTTAGAAACAAATACACGTGAAATAAAAGATATATAAAATTTGAATTCCTTAGAGGTCCTATTTCCACCCCACCCTCCACCCGACTCAAAATAAAATGTATAACTTTATCTGAATTAATATCAAAAACAGTGAAATATTCTTCATTCACTCTAGTAGCTTTGAATCTATTATACATACAATGCAGTATGATTTTCGTAACCAGGTTTTCCAAAATTTATATTCTTAAATCTCCTCTGCATCTTACTAAGAGAGGACACTTCACCGATGTAGAAAACTTACTGAAATTGTTTCTGTGGAAGCTTTCTTATCTCTTGTGTCATAATCAGGCTTCCCCTGCTGAGATCCTTTGCTCTTGTCCAGTTGATCTCTCAGATCTCCTCTGCCCCAACCACTAGTCCCCAGAAGCACAGCTAACTCAGAGGTCTTTCTCTGCTCCCTCTGTCACTGAGCGACTGAAGTGAATCCAACCAGGATTCTGGGTGTGCAGCTGACCTCAACCCCGTCTTGTAGAAAAGGAGTGAAGCAAGACAGCAATTTTGCCCTTGTTTTCTTCCAAAGGCTAATGGGACTTGTTCCCTGGAGTCCTGCACAGCTCAGAAGGAAAAGCCCGGATGTAAACAGCCTGAGTTGAACAGAAGACCCATGCTCTAATTTAATCCCCCTCACAACACAAGTCATGGGATCTCTGAGAAGGCCCTGAGCTTCTCTATCTGGCTCTGCTGTCCCAGTTAGCCAGCCTGGGCACCTTAGCGTGCAGGGAGGCACCAAGTTGTAATTGGGTTACTTCCTACGTAGTTTTACATGAGAAAATAACACAAGGAAAAAGTCAAGTTGTAAGGTGCAAAAAGAAATAATTCTAAATATAATTAATATATTCCATAACTCAGACAAACAAGCTCCATTGCAAGGCATCACATTGACAAAATATTAGCTCAGCAATCATTAGCAGGGTCCTGGTTCTGTATCTACTGTCATGAATATGACAGCCCCAAGGACCACTTTCCCCTGACTCGTATACATACAAGGTCCCAGCTCCCCCTCATTTCTTCCACCATCAGCTTCCCTTGAACCCAGCGGTGTCAAACACAGATGGACCCCAGCTGCCAAATCAAGCCCACAGGGGTGGTCTAGTAGAGGCAATGCATGCAACGTGCATTGTGGACTGGTTACATCTGGTGCTTGCCCCATGTGTACAGCTGTAGCCCTGCACACCACACACAACACAACCTGGCCCCAGCACCATGCACAGCATTAGATGCGAGGGGCCAGCCTGTGGCACATGTTACCCACAGGAGGTCACTGGGGGTGCGTACTACATGTGGCATTGGTGATGCCTAGGAGTGTATGCAGGTGCATGTGCACTCCTTGAGATTGGTGGTGAATAGATTCATAGATTCATAGATGTTAGGGTCGGAAGGGACCTCAATAGATAATCGAGTCTGACCCCCTGCATAGGCAGGAAAGAGTGCTGGGTCTAGATGACCCCATCTAGATGCTTATGTAACCTCCTCTTGAAGACCCCCAGGGTAGCGGAGAGCACCACCTCCCTTGGGAGCCTGTTTCAGACCTTGGCCACTCTAACTGTGAAGAAATTCTTCCTAATGTCCAATCTAAATCTGCTCTCTGCTAGCTTGTGGCCATTATTTCTTGTAACCCCCGGGGGCGCCTTGGTGAATAAATACTCACAAATTCCCTTCTGTGCCTCCGTGATGAACTTATAGGCAGCCACAAGGTCGCCTCTCAACCTTCTCTTGCGGAGGCTGAATAGATCCAGTTTCTCTAGTCTCTCCTTGTAGGGCTTGGTCTGTAGGCCCTTAACCATACGAGTGGCCCTTCTCTGAACCCTCTC